AGTTATTTAACCTCTCTGTGCCTCAATGTTTTCATCCATAAAATGGGGTAATGATAGTGCCTACTTCCTAGAACTGTTATGAAGATTAAATGAGTTAACACTGGCACTTAGTAAGTGCTACATGCATGTTGGCCATTTTAATCTATCCATATACATACCTATATCACTTTGAGAGAAAACTGGGTCGCTATATTTTATCTGTTGGTATCTTACAGACATTAAGGTTTGAATCTTGGACTTTTATATCTTGGATGCCTAAATGATTTCAGGTTATCAAACAAGTAATTTTAAGAGAGGAAATACATTTTTGTCTCTTTCAACTTCAAAGAATGAGCTTCTAAAAATAAGTGCTGAGTTTCTACTTTAGATTATGAAAAAAAGATATATATACACGTACACATATAGACATATATACACATATCTATATATAAACAAAAAAAAGCACATAAAAATCCATGAATTCAGAAGCTATATTTAAAATAAATAGGCCAGATGGCAGGTAATTAAGATACACTAAAACTGTTAATGTCGCACATAAGGATTAAAATGTATCAACAATCAGAGCTGGGCAGAGAATTTCTGGTGTCATAATTTGCTTCTATAGCACTTTGCTGTGTAATTCACCTGCAATTAAAAGCAGAAAAAGCCTCTCCCACTCTTCTCCTTTTCTCAGGTCTATGATTTGGAAGCATGTTTCCCATGACTTTTTCCCCCTCTAATCACTCTCCCTATATTATTTGTCTAAATCAGAGGGAGAAAATAACAAAGCAACAAGCAGTAAAAAGCAATTTCTATTACAGGGAAACAAAACTGGTGATAATCCAGATCCCTTAGAAGTGAAATCTACCTGGGTGCCTGGGTGGCTCAGGAGGTTAAGCGTCCGACTTGGCTCAGGTCATGATCTCGCAGTGTGTGAGTTCGAGCCCCGCGTCGGGCTCTGTGCTGACAGCTCAGAGCCTGGAGCCTGCTTCCGATTCTGGGTCTCCCTCTCTTTCTGCCCCTCCCCTGCTCATGCTCTTTCTCTCTCTGTCTCAAAAATAAATAAAAACATTTTTTAAAAAATTAAAAAAAAAAGAAGTGAAATCTACACTCTGTGGTCAGTAAAACCAACTTGCTTTGCATCTGTTAGCACCCTATGGTCATTTGAAAGCCTAAGGCAAACTTCACCAGCACAGAGCCCCCATTAGTCAGCCAGCATCACGGTCTCCCATGCACACCACCACAGGTTGTCCTGGGGGCTCCGGGCCTGCAGGGGAATTCAAGAGGTTGGCCATTCACCAAGGCGGACCCAATGGCCTTTGCAGCTTCTCCACGAGAGCTTCAAGAGTCCTGCATCCTGTTCAGTGGGCACAGGGAAAATGGCTCCCGTCCTAAAACAGCCAGCCTGGCTCCATTTGGCTGTAAGTAGTTCCTGGCAGAATTCCTGCCAGGAATGAGTTTGGATGGTTGGTGGAGAGGTATCCCTCCTACTTTCAGAGGTGGTGACTGGGTGGCCTGTGGGAATCTTAAGGGAAGTGGGCTAAAGCCCTTCCTGGTCCCTGGGCTTGGCTCCAGCAAAGCCCAGAGGCACCTCAGAGCCAGCTGTGACTAATGCCAGCCTTACTCCCGGGCCTTGTTTGAGGCTGAGGAATGAGCTATATTGGCAGTGAGTTTGGTGCCAGTCACGAGGGGTTTTCTTGCTCCTCACATCCGCTTCTTTCAAGTCTTCTTTCATTCAGCACAGACTGGTTTTATCTTCAAGGGAAAGGAGTAACAAAAGATGCCGGTTTCCACCTCAGCAATTTTTAACCCCTCTTCCCCAGAAGTTAATCTTTGTATGAATCTCTACACCAGCACAATGCCTTCTCAACGCTCAATAAAATGATAGTTTCCTTTCCTTGCATATGTCCTGCCTTCCCCATCCTGGCCATTTGCTAAGACCCAGGGCCTTCCTGCTGGGCTGCCCCCACTTTGCAGCCCCACCTGGACCTGCCCAGGGCTGCTCCCCCGGCTAGAACCCTCTCAACCCTCATCAGAACTGAACTATCCTTTGTCCCACTCCCTAAACAGCTTAATTTTCATGTTGAAGCCACGGTATCCTTTATAGTAATCTGTATTTTATAGTACATTTTGAGAGCCATTGGGTATCTGTTAGTACTGAGTTAACCTTGTGGCAGAGGCCTTCGATGCCAAATAAAGCTGTGATTGATGCTGAGATTTTGGAAGTGTCTGGGCAGTTGGAAAAGGGGAGCTCAGTGGACTGTGCTTCTCAGCTCACAGGTTTCTACTATTAGGGCTCAGAAGCCCTGACCAGCATTTCCTTTTAAAGAGAGACCTTTGTGATGGGTCCAACCTCTTGCCAGAACTTTCCAAGACAAAGAACTTGATGCTCCTGGCTCTGCAGCAAGGCAGAGCAAAACAGCCAAATGGGCATTACCGGGACACAGGTGACCACGCTGTCTTGATCCACCAGCCTGAGACCAGGCGTGTCTGCCCAGTAGTGGCCTGTGCTGCAGGATGGGGTGTCCACAGGTTCTACCATGGAAGGCCCCAGAACAAGGGTGACTACAAATAACCTTCACAGGCAGCAAGAAAGCGGTACACGGCAGTGAGGACAGTGGGTAGGAGGCACTCGGAAGAAGAGCCCAGTCCCAAGTAGTGAGGAAAAGCATGGTCTTGCACACGCACCCCAGGCTGTGTTTCTGTACTTCTAGAGAACAACCCTGTTTCCTCCTGTTTTCTCCTCCCAGACTGCCAGAGCCCCTAAGAGGAGAGAGGTGGGGCCCCTAGAGGAGAAGCCAGCCGGCTGCTTTCTATGGAAGGTGAGGAGGGGTGAGCAATGCCCCTGCTCCCATGGGCAGCTCCGAGGTGCAGACACCAGCGTGGTCCCAGAAGAGCCCCCAGGTGTGAGCTGGCCATCCCACTTCAGCCTTGTTCTACCTGCTCTGTCACCTCTCCTGCCCAGGAGAGTCTCTTTCTCTGCCCGCCCCTTCCATGTTGCCCTTTCTCGGAGCCCTCTCCTTACACTCCTTTTTGCTGATTCCATCTACAGCCATGGCTCTCTCTAACACCTTCTCTGGGCATCTTTTGTATAACATTTAAAATAAAAAAATGGGTCTGAATCTGATCTGGGCTTCCAATTTCTAGGTCATACAGGAGACAGAGGAACATGTTAAAGCACACCAAGAGCATGGGAAACTCTATGGGCAAAGAATTCCATTTCTTCAAAAATAAAGGGAGAAGATGGGGGGCGGGGGAGAGAATCCACATAGTAAAAGAGACTTAAAAGCCTATCAAACAATCCCAATCTACGGTCTAAAATGAATTCTGATTCAAATAAACTGTTTTTTTTTTTTAATGGAAATTTGAACCTGACTTGATATTAATAATATATTACTCAATTGGTAAGGCATAATAATGGTATTGTGCTTATGTTTCTTAAAAAAGAATCCTTATCTTTTGAAATTCATACTGAAATATTTATTTCGAAAGATATGATGTCTGGAATTTGCTTCAAAACCAGTGCAGGGAGAAGTGGGTGCAGGTTGGGAGAAAACGAGATGGACCATGATGTCATCATTGTCAAGGCTGGCTGATGGGAACACGGGTGCTCATTATGTTCTTTCTACTTTTGCTTATTTTTTAAGTTCTCTATAATAAGAAGTTAAAAAATAGAAAGAAAAAAGGAAGAAAAGGCTATGTTCCAGCTAATTAGTCTCAAACATTGCCAGGGCTACATACAAGTATGTGAAGATAACCTGAGAAGATTTTTGTTACTGACTTGTGTGACTTTTCTGGTGCCCTCTGACCCCTAACTGGGTTGATCTTTGACCTGTTTTTTTTGTTTTGTTTTGTTTTTGAGAGAGAGAGGGTGCAAGTGAGCTAGGGGCAGAGAGAGAGAGAGAGAGAGAGAGAGAGAGAGAATGAATCCCAGGAGGAGCTGAGAAAGAGGGAGGCGGGGGGAGAGAGAGAAAGTGGGGCTCACCCAAAGTGGGGCTAGTGCTCACTCAATGTGGGACTCGAACTCACAAACTGTGAGATTGTGACCTGAGCCAAAGTCAGATGCTTAATGACTCAGCCACCCAGGCACCCCGTCCAAATTCCCCATTTCTATTAATGGTTGAGTACTTCCTCTGCTGCTATCACAGACTAGAGCCAGACTATTGAGCCATCTTCAACTCCCCACTCTTCTCTCTGTATATCCATTTAGTCAGCAGGTTCCATGGATTCTTCCTTCACAGTGTCCCTCAGACTCATCTCTTCCTTTTCACTCTTATAGTGATCTTCCAATCCCAGGTGTGGGTTCTTTCTGTCCTGTGTGCCTTTACTTTCTCACGAGCTCCTGTCCTTAGTGTCATCCTTCCAGCCATCTCATTACCCTTGGCCATTAGAGAGTGCCATTAGATCAAGAGCCTCAGGTTTAGTCTGAAGCCAAAAGAGGGGGAATCGTGATGTAGGCATTGCAAGGTGCCTGACAATCTCAAAGGAGTCTCGTTCAAAGGAACCTGGAATGATGTTTATCAGGCAACCAACAAAAAGGGCTCCACACCTCAAAGAGTCTAATGTGTAAAACATTATTTCTCAATACATCCTTCACCAATTGTTGATACGTCCATAATACCCCAGACCTGGTTGATCATCTAGCAGAATTCAAGGTCAAAAGGATTCCATTCAAGTGGGTCAACAGACAAATGAAAGAACTCATATGACAGAAGGAAGATCCAGAGATTTCTGCTAATTTCTCTAGTATGCCTTATAGTAGAGCAATAATACATCAGGTTTTCTAAACCAAGGACATAAGATTTGACACATCATTTTCAGATTTGTTCATTCATTCATACGAAATTTGTACAAAAGTGTACAAAAATCATATCGTTATCTACTTAAAAATCATCTTTATTGAGGAAAACTTACATTTAATGAAATTGGAACTGTCCAGGAAAATTCAGGCTATGGGGTCACCAGGGCCAAACAGCCTCAAAATGCTTGAAAATAAAACTAATTTCTTTGAGGCTCCCAAAGAGACCTTTATTATCAGCCTAGATTAGCACCCCCTTCTTTTGAGGAGGGATTTTCTCCTTCCTAGGTCAATCATAAGCATCTCTTGGGGCAGGGGTGGGTAAATGAACCAGTGTTTCCCTAGAATTTTCTAATTGGTTCTGGTAAGGAAGGGTCCTCTGTCTTCTTTGGAGGAAATTAAGGATGTAGCCATTTAGGTTGTGGGTCTTGTGCAGCCAGCCAGCCTGAAAGAATGAAGCCAACATAAGAGAGATTTGAAGGACTGGAGTTCTTGGTTCCAAACATGACTGAGGCCAGCTGCATCCCTACCTCTCTACTTACTTGGGCTTAGAAAGCGTTTGGTTTTAACTGGTAGCTTTAGTCTTTTGTTTTTGTTTTTAATCAATTACCATAAGAGAATCTCTGACAAACAATCAGTGATAGCGTGAGCAGGGCAAGGTAACCACGTGAAATCAAAACAATAAAAGAAGAGAGCCACTTGCTGGGGTCTCCTGGAAGGCAGTAGAAAGACTTCAACTCTTGGGGCGCCTGGGTGGCTTGGTCGGTTAAGCATCCGACTTCGGCTCAGGTCATGATCTCACGGTCCGTGAGTTCGAGCCCCGCGTCGGGCTCTGTGCTGACAGCTCAGAGTCTGGAGCCTGTTTCGGATTCTGTGTCTCCCTCTCTCTCCGCCCCTCCCCTGTTCATGCTCTGTCTCTCTCTGTCTCAAAAATAAATAAACGTTAAAAAAAAAAAAAGACTTCAACTCTTTAAAAGTTTTAAGCAATGGTAGTGATTGACACCTCCTAGAAAATGACCTTGTCATGTCATAAAAGGAGCTGCTGATTTTATTTGAGAGAGAGAGAATGAGTGTGCATGTAAGTGGGGGAAGGACAGAGAGAGAGAGAGAGAATCCCAAGCAGGCTCCATGCTCAGGGGCTCAGCATGGAGCCCAACACTGGGTTCAATCCCACGACCCTGGGATCATGACCTGAGCCAAAATCAGGAGTTGGACGCTCAACTGACTAAGCCACCCAGGTACCTCTAAAGAAGTCCATTTTATTTTATTAAAATTTTTTTTAATGTTTATTTATTTTTGAGAGAGAGAGAGACAGAAAGACAACATGAGCAGGGGAGGGGCAAAGAGAGAGAGAGGGAAGCACAGAATCTGAGGCAGGCTTCAGGTTCTGAGCTGTCAGCACAGAGCCCAACATGGGGCTCGAACCCACAAACTTTGAGATCATGACCTGAGCCACAGTCGGACGCCTAACTGACTGAGCCACCCAGGTGCCCCTAAAGGATTTGATTTTCAAATGAGGCCTCAGTGATACTGTTACCTAATGTTACATCATGAGAAAGATCAACCTTTGACCAGAAAGAAGCAGGTTCCCCCTCCCTCCCCTGCATAATTCACAATTTTCTCAAATTCTTAATAAAAGTTGCATATCTTTAGGCAGAAGCTGCCTAATGCCAGATTTTTCACTAACATTAAAATGCCATTTGCCTCAAGTTCTTCCTCTGCTCAAGACTTCTCAGGGCAGCTATGTTGGTTGCAGGGTAATTTCCAGATGCCTCAGTTGGGCACTCAGGGCTTCCAGAAATGGGCCTGACCTTCAACTTCATTTCCTACAGCTCAACAAAATAAACATCTTATACTGACCGTGCTATTCTCTGCATCCCTTCACGCTGGTCATGCTCACGCCTTTCCGCAGCGTGGTTTAAGCTACTGACTCTGAAACCGGTCTGTGGTGCTTTGTTATGGCTGCCCTAGCCAACGACAGAGAGGGCTAACATCCGGGGAGGAAGCAGGGCAGCAGGTACAACAGAGACTGGCAAGCACTATGCCAGGAGGGGAACTTTCCACCTCAGCTGTGGGGAACTTTCTCAGGGGGAGTTACTCTGGGTTGTAAAGCTCTTGAGAAGTGCTTGCCTTTCCCAAGGAGCCCAGGGGCAGTGGTCTTCCTGTGTATTTCACCTTCCTACTTCCACCCCATACAACCAGGTTAAGCACCTTGGAGCCTGTGTCAAGTGCATGCCTGACCCAGGGAGATGAACTTCAGACAGTGGGCCACTGAGCAAGCCCATCTCCCTTAGCAGGGGGAGCCGGTGGGGTGGGGGGAGGAAGCCGAGAGCTACTAAAGGAGACCACAATGGCCACTCATAAAACAAACTGGTGAGGCGCAGAAGAGGTCAGAATAAGCAGTCAGGCAGGCAGAAGGAGCCAGGGGAGAGAACGAGAAGTGGAGGCAGGAGCCATAGGTGCGTGGGGGGGCTCTCTGAGCAGCAGGGAGCTATGAGGGTTTCTGCTGGGACCGGTTCCCCTGAGGCAGGCACCTCCCCTGCTGCCACGGAGCCTATTAGCGTCTTCATCTCCCAGGAATGGACGGGAGAGGACTTCCTGTGAGGCTAATTACTTTTAAGACATGGGTCCCTTTTCATGACCTTCCCAGATTCAGCACACTGAAGGAACTAGCTGGAGGATCAGAGAGGGGAGGCAGCGGCCAGGCCATCTGACTCACCAGGCCCTTCCCACCCCTTCCTGTGCCTTCCCTCTGCCTGGTAGGCATTTCCTTCCTGTCCCATCCTTTGCAGGGAGCATCACCTCCCCTGGGTGATCTTCCCAGACCTGGGGCAGCACACATCTTCCCTTGTACCTTGGTGTGTCCCAATTGCGACTATTTTGATAATCTGATTAATTATTAGTAATCAGTTAATTGTTGTAGAGCATAAGCTCTGGGGGCACAGAGTCCACTTTTGCACTTAGTATCCCCAGGACTTAGCACAGTGCCTGGTACACGTAGGTTCTCAGTACATATTCATTGAGTGAAGGACCGATAGGTACTCATTATGCACATAAGGAAAGATGAGGCGATTTGCTTAAAGTCACACATCCAACAAGTGACCTGAGGAGAAAGTCAGATGGATGTGATGTAACCAGCACTTGGGTGTCACAGACTATCAGTCTGGAGTTCTCCCTTGTCCAGCAAGAGAGCAGACACAGAACTGAATACGAGAAAGGCTAATGTCTGGGAGGAGACAAGAGCCCCGAACAGGTGTTTTGTCTCTGTATTTATTGAGCTCACAAGATATTACCCACATGGTGAACGAAAGAAAACAAGATCTTACACACATGGTGAATGTGAAGAAAACAAGATCTTACACACATGATGAATGTGGAGAAAACAATCCGACAGTAATCATAACTTGTATGCGTAAGAAGCAAAGGGTCTGGGGGGGGCAAGTGGATTTGTAATCAAAGTACAATAGTATATTGGTGTCAGATGGAAAGTAATTTCCTGCAGATGATATTACAAGTTACTTGTGATTCCATTACAATATCTCACTACCTAACCTTGGGCACTTTCCCCTGTGGTGGTGGCTTTCCACCCTAAGCTTTTTTTCTGATCCATTTATGTAAGTAGAACCCATTTCCCCACACTTAGGCAAACACACAGGCACACACATTCCCCTAAACCCCCCAAACCCTGCTGTGGACCTTTTCTCAAAAGAATAGAATACATTATGATTAATTCACTGACCGATGGGGGCAGAGAAACCAATTCTTGTAAATGCACTTGGGTGCCTATCGTGGGAGTGAGCTTTTATAACCAAACTTCCACAGAAATAGAATTTGAGAGAGTACTGGGGAACAGAGGGAATATATTTAGAGGCTGTTTTCCTTTTACAGATCTTATTTTTTTTTAATTTTTTAAATCTTTTATTTATTTTTGAGACAGAGAGAGACACAGCATAAGCAGGGGAGGTGCAGAGAGAGAGAGAGAGAGGGAGACACAGAATCCGAAGCAGGCAGGCTCCGCACAGAACCCGATGCCTGCATCGAACCCACAAACCGTGAAATCATGATCTGAGCCAAAATTGGACACTTAACCAACTGAGCCACCCAGGCGCCCCTACAGATCTTATTTTAAATATAGTATATACGCTCAGGTCCAACTAATTCTGGTTTAGATCTACTTGATCTCTACACTAAAAACTGCACTGCTTGGTCCTGAATCACACTTGACAAATTACAATACCATCTGACAACTCCATAGTAGCATTTTGGCCAAAGACAGATTTCTGACAGCCCCTAGTAACTGGGATCAGATTTGCAGCACAAAAGCCTATTAGCTGTCACATGAAAATTGGACAGAGATCTGCTATTTTGGTAAACTAATGCCTGCCTTCAGGATCATCCAGGGTCCACTTGACCCATAAAATTCCCTTAGATTGTGTGATTCTAAGAATGAGAAAAACGTTAGATTTTGATCTGAGTTCAAAAACTTTCACCACTCAAAAGGAATCTGGGGCTATCTTTCACATGCCTTTTCATTCCATACTTTATAAAAGACCTGAAGAATGAGAAAAATCCTATGAGCCCTGGCTCAGAGAATAGCAAGAGAACTAGACACTGTCACTAAGGTGATGGAAAGCTTCATCCAGAAGGTTCATAAAATCAGACAGGCAGTGGTTGGGAATGGAACCCTCTAGATGCCATACAGGCCTCTCAAGGTAGAACACAGGTCATCTTTGAAGAGTATTGTACCTGCATTCCTATAGACCTCTTTAGAATCTTCAACATTATTAAAAAGATTTGAGGTGGGGTGCCTGGGTGGCGCAGTCGGTTAAGCGTCCGACTTCAGCCAGGTCACGATCTCGCGGTCCGTGAGTTCGAGCCCCGCGTCGGGCTCTGGGCTGATGGCTCAGAGCCTGGAGCCTGTTTCTGATTCTGTGTCTCCCTCTCTCTCTGCCCCTCCCCCGTTCATGCTCTGTCTCTCTCTGTCCCAAAAAAATAAATAAACGTTAAAAAAAAAAATTAAAAAAAAAAAAAAAAGATTTGAGGGACAAACATGGAAATCAAGAGATTAGGTAATTTATCTAATACCCCTGTATCTGGTTCTACAGGCTCTGCAGATTGGGGCTGGAACCTGTTTTCTTGGCATAATTTTGAGTAAATTAGCTCTTGGTTTAGAAATGGATAACACACCCTGATCATAATCTATTCTACTACTACCTGTCTGTGTTGCAGTATTCAAATGTGTGACCTCCAGAGATCAGAAGCTAGTGCATAGCCATTGCCCTATCACATGAGCAACAGTTGATTGGGCAACAGAAGGAATGAGAAGCTTCCTTTCATCTGACTATAGGTTATGTTCTCTGAACTGCCTTTAGATCAACCCAGATTATGGGGAAGATCTGGATTTCACAGAATACTGTCCTATGGACTGACATTGTCTGCTCTCAGCCAAAATGGGACTGAAAGAGAAACACCTGACTGATACTTAACAGTAAAAACCAGCTCAAATCGAAAAAGAAAAAAAGCAGCCCTACCTTTAACCATGCTGGGAGGACAGACGGATAAGGCCAGCTGCAAAATAAACAGAAAATATTTTTCTGTCAAGGCTGTAAAATGCCTCAATAACCCTCTCTGAGTGCTAATTGATTCATATCAATGACGCCCCCAGACCTACCTTGCTATTTACCTTTATCATCGTGGATAGCCCACTGCTCAGCCACAAACAACACTCAATTCTCAGTTAATCTCAGCTTCTCCTAATGCTGCCTGAGAACCAGCAGTCAATCTGGAAGTGGCCCCTTCTCTTACACTCTCCTCAGAATCCTGAGGAAAGATGCTTCCCTCCTTCCTGTAGTCCTCTGGAGCGCCCTTCCTCACTGCAATCATGTCAATACACCCTAACGTCCAGCCACAAGGAAGTCCATGGCTGTAAGGTGGTCACGACCATCGCCTGAGGGAGGGGTGTGCTATCTTCTGGGTGAACAGATGGTCGTTTTGGGGGGTTACCAGGGGCCAAATTTCATGCTTACACCTTCCCCTTTCTCCTTTCTACATTGTTTTTTCCTGTTTCTGGCTGCTTCTTACACATTTGTCGGAGTCCATATTTCTGCTATCCAGACGCTTCATCCCCATATCTGATACTTGGTACTTTTTTTTTTTCTTTCTTGTTGTCAGACACTCTGTTCCCTTTTATATTTCCCCTAGACCTTTTCTTCATTCTATCATTTGGCTATGACAATTGCACCTTTCTGGCTGCTGTATCATTTCTCAGCTTTTGTGTCCTTGACCTATGCCTTTCATTTAAACTTCTGTGCAGCCATATGACTGCTTGCTGTTTAAAACCTTTCGTTGGCTTTCACCTTAAGTGTTTTTATTTTAAAACTTTTTAAAAAATGTTTTATTTATTTTTGACAGAGAGAGAGAGAGCATGAGCAGGGGAGGGGCAGAGAGAGAGGGAGGCACAGAATCCAAGCAGGCTCCAGGCTCTGAGCCGTCAGCCCAGAGCCTGACGCGGGGCTTGAACTCACAGGCTGCGAGATCATGACCGGAGCCGAAATCGGACGCTCAACTGACTCAGCCACCCAGGCTCCCCAAGTGTTTTTAAAACATTTAAAAAACATTGCCTACCATTCTGTACTTCCTTGAAAACAGATCCAAATATCCTTCCCTTGTCCTTTTATTTTACTTTGCATTTCTTTGTAACACACAGTCGCCAAGTGCTGGGTAACGCTGACCCCCCCCCCCCCCCCCCCC